AGCCGTGAAATCTAGGCCTCCCACATGGGGTCCGAGCAGCTGGGGTCGAAGGATCGCTCCGCGTCGCCGATGCATCGGCGATGCGGCGCGATATGGATTCCGCTCTGCTTCGCGCCGACGTCGCCGATGCATCGCCGACGTCGACGATGCATCGCCGGTGCGTCACCGACGCGTTGCCAATCTGTCGGCGATGCTGCGCGATCCTCCGGCCCCATCTACTCTCGGGCCGAACGAAAGGAGGGGATAGGGAAAGGGGGGGTGCGAAACCAGCTGCGTGCAGCTGGCTTCAGCCCCACCGAGGGGGCCATTCCTCGATGCATGGCCGTGTCCGGCGCCGAGGGGCGCCAGGAAAATCAGCTACGTGAGCTGATTCTCACCCCCCCCCCTTTGCTATCCCCCCCTTGCGCCCGGCCCCATCTGCCCCGACCCCATCTAGGAGGCCTTCGTGACTGCCCTGGCCATCGCCCCGGTCCTCCGCGGCCGCCTCTCCCCTCCTCGCGCGCCCCCCCCCTCCTTGCTGCCGGATATAACTTGTGTGTCTAGCGCCCCCGACAGCTCGAGCGCCCGTGCGGGATGCCCCTGCCGTGCCGCGACGAAATATGTCCCGTTCGTCCCGGATCTACGGAGGCGCGAAGGTTTCCGCCGTGGTTCGACCTGGCTTCTGCCCCCTTTTCGGTGGCAAGTCGTGGGGTCCGGTATGCCCTCCTAATCCAGTTTTTAGCGTCTACCAGCGTCGCTTAGCGTCTGGACGTCGATCCAATAGCGCCGATTTAGCGTCGGTGGGCGTCGATTTGCGCCGATTTAGCGTCGATTCAGCGTCGGCTAGCGTCGACTAACTTCGATTAGCATCGATTCGCAAGAGCCGACGAGGTGGTTTACGAGGTCTCTCCGATCCGTAACCTCGACGGGCCCTTTCGGAGGACTGGCGCCTGGCCGATTGGTTTTCGTCGGCAATTCCTTGTGAGCGCCTGCGACGACACCTCGCTGCCCGTTGGCCTCAGGAATATCACGGGAGGATCGCAGACACCAGGATTCAAGCTCATGCGCGCTGTCGGGAAGGGATGGGGGCCAGACCCATCTCGCATGCGGTTGGGCGTGCGCCTAGACTTCGTCGCTCGCATTGCGGAACAACCGCGTCTACCGCAATCTGCCCTCGACCCTGCGGCGCACCTGCCTCCCCGCCTGCGCTCGGAAACATTCCAGACGAGGGCTATGGCTTCGACGACGCGGGCCCCTCGAGGCTCAATGGCGGTTCCGAGGGCTCGTTGTTGAGTGGCTGCCCCGCTGCTCATAACGTCTCCAGCCTTGATAGCGGCGGTCTTCCATTCCCCGCGTATTGACGTTGTGGTCATGCATGCTGCTCTGTGTGCTACAGCCCCAGCGCCATTCGACGTCGAGGTGATGGGCGACGAGGAATCTGATTACCACTTTGGCTCCCGTGCGCCCCAAAGATGGATGGGGAACAGCGCGTTTAACTTCGACGATTCCCCCCCGACCCTGCGGCTGGCCCGACAGCGAGCATTGCTGCGGGCAGCGCGTGCGGTGGCACGATTCCCTCTATGGGCCCCTGTCTTGGCTTATACCGCGTTCCTATTTCGGCAGCGGCGCGTGCACTTGGCCCCATTGAGTTGCCGAGAATCCTTGCGTCTTCCACTGCTGGCCACGCCCTTCACGACGGCGTTCCTCCCTTCGACGACTCGGCGAGCCTGGCCCAGGCTCGCGTGGTTGCGCGCGGTGCTGCATCATCCAGTGGCGCCCCACCCAGCTCATCGAGTGCTTCGCCTACAGTTTCGGCATCTCGTACTCGTGCTTCTCATATCAAAAAAACGCTTTTACTTCGTGCTGTTGGGCATGTGCGTAGCATCTGGCTGTAGTCTGCCCGGGTTTTTCTGGATCTGTTTTTTTCGGATTGGAGGTGCTTCTCGCGATGCTTCGGCTGGGTGCTCGGACGCGAAATTTTCGAGCCGCTGTTCGACGCCGCACCGGGCCCTGATGCCCACGAGCGAAACAACTCGCGCTAGATTTGCGACGAGGCATGGTATCTTCCCGCTGAGATCCGCGAGCATGGCAGAGCACAATTTACACGTGCTTGGCCTGGCCATGAGCATTTCAGGAGGAAGTTGGCCACTGCTTGCGCAAGTTGGAATTTCGGCATGCGCTGCTGGCAAGCTGCCCATCGCTCGCATGTCCATTTCTGTCGCGCAGCGGTTTTTCCGGGACGGCAACTTCGCGCCGTCGGAGCAGCCGGTGCCGCCCATCAGTCTGGCCAGGCAACGAGGTGATGAGCGTCCAGAAGCTGACGACTATGACCGCGGCAGCTCTACTTCCCATGGGGTTCGCCTTGCTGGTCCCGGTTATCCGCGTTGCCCATGTCCCGCTGGCGCAGATGTGGAGCGCGGCAGGGCTGGGGGCGTGGAGGGCGCAGATGCGAGCCACGTGGATTGCATTGGCGTCAGCGAATCGTGATCAAGGTCGGCCCAGCAGCCGCGAGACGCACCCGCTTCTTCCCGCGAATCACTGCCCCCGTCGGAGATGCCGCGCGTAATGGGCCTCTGCCGGCTGATCGGGGGCGTCTCTGCTCAAGTCCACCGGCACTTCGACCAGCTGAATGGGCTCATCTTTCGTGGCGCTGGCGTAGCTGGCGTTCCATTTCCAAGCGTCCATCCGCTCGGTGCTTCTCCGCTTTCCATCGTCAGCATCCCATTTGTGTCGCCCTCTCCATGGACACGTGTCTATTGACGCATAGGCCGATGGAGATTTCCATGGGCCCATCGTGACGCCAACCCGCCGGCAGTGTGATGACGGTGCCAAGTCCTTTATTCAATGGTCAGCGTAGCCTGATGTTGGAAGGGCACTGCGTTCGAGTGAGCATCCTGCGCGTCCCCTTTTGCCGCAAGGTGGTGGGCAAGCCGCCCCCGATGGACATTCCCCGCCCAGATGCCTCTTGTGCTTGGTGAGCGTGTGACAGTTTGGAAACGCTTGCTGGCGATTTGTTCTTCATGATTGATCATGGGTGCTGGTGGGACATCGGGGACTGGATCGACTGGCGCTTCTCGTTCTACGGTTGCTCATCTTGATCGGCCGTGCCCCGTCATTCCCCGCGCTCGCGCGCCAGACCTGGACCTCCCGGCCTCACTTCCCGACTCGCACTGACTCGAGACCCTGGGCGTCTGCGAGGCCGCGGCGCGCTGACGCGCGAGCGGCAGGGTGAGGTCAACGTGGAGGAGGGCCCGCAGAGGAGGGCGAAGAAGGGCGGCGGCGCAGGAGGAGGAGGAGACGGAGGAGGAGGAGGAGGACGAGGAGGAGGAGGAGGACGAGGAGGAGGAGGAGGAGGACGAGGAGGAGGAGGAGGAGGAGGAGGAGGAGGAGGAGGAGGACGAGGAGGAGGAGAGGAGGAGGAGGAGAGAGGGCCAGGACTGCGCAGCCTCGCGACGGGCGCGCGCCTGCTCTGGGAGCGCTCGAGGGCGACGCTGGGGCTCAGAGCGGCCGTCCGCCGTGCGAGCGCGTCGCTGCACCATCGGCGCGCTGGGTATACCGAGCCCCACTTGCATGCCGCTCCTCCTCCTCCTCCTCCTCCCCTCCTCCTCCTCCTCCTCCTCCCCCTTCCCCTCCTCCTCCCCTCCCCCTCCTCCCCCTCCTCCTCCTCCTCCTCCTCCTGCCCGCCCAGTGGGGCACACCCTGGGCGATGCTTACGAAAACTTACGTTTTCGGCCAGGGTCTCGATGATTCTTAATGTTTCAATGTCAGTCCCAAGATTCGAATCGAAGTTCTGGGTTTTGATTCAAATTCTGAGACTATGAATTTCTTAACCCATGATTTCTTAAGCATTTCGCAGGGTGTACGGGGGCATCGTGCGGTGGCCCACTGCTCCCGTCCCGGAGCTGGTTGAGGAGCGACCTCAACAAGTGCCGGCCGACCATGGAAAAGGTTGAAGGCGAGCCTGACGGCAGCAGTCTTCTGGCGAGAAGCCACTTTCCTGATGGGCCACATGCGCCCATCGCAAACCAAGCGGCACTACTTGTCGGCATCTCCCCAGGCAAGAAGTTCGATCAGGCCATCTTCTACGCAGTGATCAGCCTGCCCAGTCCGCGTGTTGGTACTCATGTCAGCGACGGCCTTGCCCATGCGTTTGCTATGTCTATGCCAGTGGCTCCAGATCACACCTGCAACGATTGTTAGACTCTCCAACGCATAGTTTTCAAATTCTCCGAGCCATGGCGCCCTGGCTTTCTCTACCAAGCCGAGTGCTTGGACGAAGAGCAACATTCGATGGATTGGTGCGTCCCCTTCGCGACGACTCAGCTGAGGTGGCCCTTCTTCGACCGCCTCTTCAACGGCGCACCCGATGACGAGTATGGTGGGGTTCTTCAGTGAATTGCTGTTGCCAATTGTGATGATCTTTGGGTGGCCACTGTGGCTAGGCATGGAGACCTGTCTCTTCACGCTGGGCTCCTCCCTCCTCCTCCTCCTCCTCCTCCTCCCTCCTCGTCCTCCTTCTCCTCCTCCTGCTCCTCCTCCTCGTCCTCCTCCTCGTCCTCCTCCTCCTTCTTCCCCCGTTCTGGAAAACACCTAGACAGCCGGTCGGATCCCCCGTCAGAAGCCCCTTTGTTGGCTAGAGCGCGAGGGGTCCCCCTGTTGCCCAGCAGCATTGGGGCGGTGTTCGATGGTCTTCGACGGTCTTCTGACGGTCTTCGGTGATCTCCCGGCGGTCTTCTGAAGGCCTTCGGCTGTCTTCTGGCGGTTTCCTCACGGTCTTGGCGGCCCCCGGCGATCTCAGGCGGTCTTAGGCGGTTTTCGGCGCGAGGGCTGGTTTGTCGCGTTCAGCGGGGGTTCCATGATCGAGTACCTGCCATGAAGCCCCCCCCCGCCACCCTCCTCCCTCCCCCCTCCTTCCCAGATCCTTCTGGAAACCCTTACCTTCCAAGTCGTTGCAACAGAACCTGTAAAGCGGGGGCCCTCTCTTCGTGTTCCTCCCCATTTCCACTTCCGCGTGCATCGAG